CCTCCAAAAAGTAAAGAAAGAAGGAATCTGGAGGGGGGGTAAGAAAGAAAAGAAGAAAGGAGGAAAAACTGGTTTCCTTCTCCAACCTGACTTTCCTGCTTCCTCTAACTTGGTCTCCTACAATAACTTCTTAGTTATCTTTACAACTCCTCTCCTTCCCCTTAAAAGTCTATAATTTGGCCACTTTTTTGTTTTCTTTTTTCCTTTTTTGAGGGATGTCCAAGGTTTGAAAATCATTGCTATTGGTGGTATGGAGCCCCAGGAATGTTTTATGCTGTTTGTGTTGCATGTGTGGACGTGTTTCTCTATGTATCGTTTATCTATTGCCAATAGACTGCATCATTAGATTCCCAGCCAATTTGCTACATAGAAAAACGCTGTGTAAGCTTTTTGTTTACCCAGATCCTCTTTCTAGAAGTTTAGCTAAATGTCTTTCCTGGGTTGCCATTCATATATATATATATATGCCATTCATATATCTATATTGATACATATATAATGATACATATATATATAATATATACATATACAATAATTATTTACATATACATATGTAAGTGTACATTCATATATATATATGCCATTCATATATCTATATTGATACATATATAATGATACATATATATATAATATATACATATACAATAATTATTTACATATACATATGTAAGTGTACATATGTATATGTAATACATATATAATGTATTTTTATACATATACACACACCCACACACGTGTGTGTGTATGTGTTTGCTTAAACAGTTTTAAATTGCACCACTAATTAATGAATACATTCTCCTTGGTCAATTCGTTCTTTACAAATTCTGTCACACTCATCTCTTCTCTCCTGTCCCTGATGCCACCTCCCTACTACAAAGCTCATGGCCGTAAACTGGAGTGCTGAAACCTAGATCTTATTGCTCCGCCTTCCACCCACCATGCAGCTGGCTACGAGAGCACATCCTCTAAAGCACCACCCTGATCTTTTCTCTCCATAATTGAAGAGCCTCTAATAGCTGCCTAATTGTGACCAGGTGTGCTAGGTGCCTCCATGATATTCCTTTATAATGAAATCTCATTTCATTTCTGGATGGCAAGGTAACCAGCCACACATTCTGGCTTCTTTTGCAACTAGGAGTTGGTAGATGAAATTGCTGGGTAAGGAATTCCGGTGAGGCCTCCTAAAGAGGAAAAAATATAGCTGGTAATAGGTGCCTTTTACCCACCTCTCTTCATCTTTCCTGCTGCCTAGAATTTATACGTGATGGCTAGATCTCCAGTAGGCATCTTGAACCAAGAGGCAGCTTTGAGGATAAAGTTACATGTTAAGAAGAGAAATATAGACAGATAGAAGGTGCCTGAGTTCCTGATTGTCATAGAACCATCCTACCTGCTGCCCTGGAGAGAAAAATAAACTTTTGCGTATTTGTCACTGTTATTTATGGTGTTCTGGTATGGACAGGCCCCAAATAGTAGTTTATTCTCTGCACAAATTTAGCTATTTCTCCCATCTAGCCAATGTAATATGTTGATTAGTTTCAACCCACTGCTTCTCTTCTTAAGACGGGCTTACAGACAGAAAGATCTGAGTTCAAGGCCAGCCTTGCCACTGTGGTGGTGTCATCTTTAGACATCGCTCCTGACAATTTTACCCTCAGTTTCTTTGTCTGGAAACTGAGACTATAATAATACGCACATTAAAGTGTTTGCTATTTTTCTTTTATCCTGTTTTTTAGTTGTTATTAGCCCAATAGCACCAGTAGGAAAAATAGTTGAGAGAAGGAAAATGGGATAAAACTCAAATTAGGATATTTTTCTACTTTTTAACAGCCCTTATAAGTGGTTTAGTGGTTGAAAAAGTTCAGATTGCTGATTTTTAAAAGTCAATGGGAAAAAATATCAACAGATTGGACTTCAATCATTGACATTTTACTCTCATTCTCATGAATAACTGAAATCTGACTATATACACATTGCATTTTCCTAAGACCATGTGCCGATAGATAAATGCACAGACATACATACATGCATACATTTCAAGAACATTGGCTTCAGGAGAATCACTTGCCCCACGTCACTGGAATGGAGACAACATCCAATTTCTGCCTTAGTACTTTCCATTTTGATGAGTTGACTCTTAATGACTTGAAGAAACAGTTCCTTTCAAATAGGCGTAGGATTGCAAAAAAGCAAATTCGGCTCAAAACTCTTACATTGTATAATTTCATTTCTGCTCTTATGCACATCAAACTAAATTGGTTGGCTAAAAATCTTGCTAAATTAGATTTGATTTGATTAGTAAATCTGCGTATGTGCAGACAAAGCATGGTATGTGTGGTTAGAAAATGTCCTGGTTGTTTAAAATGTTCTTTTTTATGGACAATCTGGTTTTACCATAATTTCATTAGTGAACTATTTTTTGTTAATATGGACTCATCTTGTGAGTTAAATAGGCTTTGGCCCTTTGGCCCTTTGTTGGGAAATCACTCAAGCAATAGTTTGTTCTTTCTGAAGAAAAGTAACATAGTCTCAAAGGCCGGAAGAGTTGAGAACCTTCAAATTCGTCCTACCCACCTCCAGGTGACTCTCTCTTACCATTTTCTAACACTGTCATTTCCTTTTCAAAAACATTTTCCTTGCTCTTCCCAGCCCAGTTTCCTTATCAAGCTCCAAAAGGCATAGTTGGCTGCTGGGTCCTATCTGCCCTGGCCTATGTCCTCAGCGGCATTTCAACCCAAATAATTACTTTTCATGTTACCGCTGGACTTCTAAAACACACAAATAGAAACATTTAAATTGAGTTGGCTCAAAGTATTTCAAGGGGATAAAAGTATTTTTTTAAAGGGTCAAAATGCCTTATTGCAAGGATATAAGTACAAGGGCAATCATTAGAGTACTTGACACACACCAAAAGCAAAAGGCCTGAATCCAGCCTGTTTTGTACGTGTCGCTTGAGGCCTGACTTCCAATTCAGTCACCAGAAGTTCCATTCTGCTAAGATATGCGAGAAGGAACCTTGCATTTTATAGGTCATGGAAAAGCATTCAGACAACGGAGCAAAGAATTAAAAAATTACGAAGAATTCCCTGAGCATTATCAGTAGTACATGTCAAAGCAATGCATGAATCAAGAATAGTCCCAGGATTTCCACTCCCAGAACTCCCACATATCACTCTTCAGCTGTATTATAGGCTAGAAGACCCCCAAAGGTATTCAGTGGTACCACTGTCTGGAATTCTCTGGGAACTTTTTTTCTGGTTTTGGTGATTACTGCACAAAGAAAGCGTCAGAAGAGCAGCACCGTCTATCTTCTGAAACTTTGCATCATGACCTTAAACCTGGCTCAATAAACAGCCCACGTGGCTTTAAGGAATTTCATCAGTGTTTTCATTCACTAATTGCCTGATTTATTTTTTTTGCTTTACTTTCTCTCTTTTTTTCAGTTTTTAATGGAGATATAATTTACATACAGGAAAAAGCACAGAGGAGTTTTGACAAAAGCCACGTAGCCCACATGTCAGATATAGATTTCCATCACCCCAGAAAATTCCCTTGTGCCTCTTCCCCGGCAATCCCCTCTTCTTCTTGAGGTAACCGCTATTTTGATTTCTATCGCTATAGATTAGTTGTACCTTGTCTAGAACTATATAAAAATAGGTTAATACAGTGTGTACTCTTTAGTGTCTAATGCCTCATGTTTTAAGCATCTAGAAAAATCACCTCTTAATTTCCTTATCTGTAAATGGAGGGGATTGCCCTGTAAGAACGGTGTGCAAGCATTCTGAGGATTTGGAGGTTTCCTGGGAGGGGTGAGGGGACCTCAGAAGTCTCCTTGATTGGGGGTGAGTGAAGAGGAGGCAGAAGAGCGGGGTTTGCAGCACCCTGTTCGCCTTCAAACATAACAGCTGGACTTTTCCACATCTTACAAATTGGGGTTCACTGGAAGATTTCATTCAGGAAAAGGGTTCTTTGTAAAAAAAAAATGTTAGAGAACCTCAGGTCTAGACAATCCTTACTGATCCCTTTCCCTTGAACAGTCTATAAATTACAAATAGTGATTTCTGATATGAGAGCTGTCACTGGTCCCCTGGAGAGAGGGCTGGGAGACAGAAGCAGCCAGACTGGGGGCCCCCAGGGAGGGCCTGGGCACTGAGCACTGTAATATTAGTACTGGTTACAATCAGATAGCGCCACCCCAACTGAGGCGCCCAGACAATAGGCCAGAGGCCCTGAGCAAGGGGAGGCACAAAGGCAGCATTCAAAAGCCCCGACTCCCACAACCAGCGAGCACCTCTATAGACTCCACCAGACCCTGGCCCAGCCGGAACGTCATCTTACAGCCAGAAAGCCATTTTTCCACAGTTAGCTTTTAAACTGCTAAAAATAATAAACACAGAAAGGAAAGTGCTGACACAATCTTAACTGGAGAGACAAACTGAAACTGTTGTTATAATAATGTCAACAAACTGGCTTCCAAATTATGACCTAGCGTTCCAAAGGCTGCTGGATATTCCCAAACATCTGGGGACTGGAGGGGGAATTCAGAGGGCTTGTCAGTAAAGAAGGGAGAGCTTCCTTACACAGGTGCTTACACCCTAGCCGACTCGCTCTAACCAATGGGTGATCCAATTCCTTACACCTTGTTTAGCTCTCAAAGGAAAGGAGCGTGGACAGGGCTGCTGGATCTTCACGGAGCACAATTTCCCCGCATAACAATGAAATATCGGCTCCTTTCTCTCCTGTCCTCTTATTACTCTTCCCCCAAGTGAATTTGGAGCATGCCTTTTCTCCATCATGTTTTTTTAGCCCATTGAATGTTCTATATTTCTCCTGAATACCTGCAGAGTTCAAAACTATGTTAAACAACAACATAGTTTTATTAAATAACAACACAGCAGCGACGCCACAAATTAGAAGGTAATTCCCATAATGCTCAAAAGTGACAATTAATCATAAAGATCACGAGGCTGCAAACGGCCGAGTCAAGCCTGAGATCTGACCTTCTGATCCATTAAATCACGTGTGGAACTTGGCACCCACGCAGGACGGCCATGGGAGGGAAACCGCAGATCTGGAAAAAAAGGAAACAGAAGAAGATAAATACAAGTGTTTTTTTTTTTTTTTTTTAAAGTTCCCCAACATTTGCTTAATCTGCAACTGCTCTTCTTTCTATGTTTAAATAGGGTCTGGGTTCCGAGCTGTGTCTGATTTTGAATAAATGCAAATAGCCTTAGATAAAATCTTGTTCCAAAGGGGAGATGGTTTCAGAGAAAGAGACTTGAACATAAGGACAGTAATACACATTATAGGTACGGAGCACCGTTGGCGGATCCCAAAGACCTGCTTTTCTGTGCCCAGTATTCAGGAGTTTTGAAATCCCAGCCGGGAAGATGACTAAAAGGCAAATGTGAATCTTACACAACTTAGAAAGTCTGTGCTAAGGCGGGTATAGTTGGGTCTCAGAGGACAGTTCCTGGGATGGGTCTTAAACAAAAGCTTCAGCTGTGCCCTGTGGTGAAATGACAGGTTATTCATCAGGGTAGGCATCTGAGCATAAAGCCATGGGGCTGTCTAGGTTGTGTTAAGTGGGACTATATTGGGGATACTTTGCACAGTTATAAGCAGATGAAAGAGACGGCCAAACAGACTGTGGCATCTGCTTGCGCAGCAGACGATGTCCCCAAGTTTCTGTCTGCACAAGCGAGAAGCTGCCTTTCAACTAACTGTGGTTCTGCAATTTTTATTGTTCTTGACGTGGGGTACTTAGAAATCATAGAAAAGCACAGGTGGGTAGAAAGAACGTCTGGGTTCTTGCTACGCAGGATGGACCACTGATAACATCTGTCATGTCTGCTGTATCAAAATGATAACTTTTTTAATTAAAAAAAAGAGCATAGACATAATCTCCTTGACAATCCCACACCAAAGCCAGACCACGAATTTGTTTGTATCTTTCCAGTCCACTTTTTTTACATTTACACATCATATGTGTATCCAGGACAAGACACAGTGTTTGTGCATTTTTAATTTACCTATATGATATGAATCTATGTATGGGTATCTGCCATTCTACATTTTTGACTCAACATTATGTATGTGAGAGCTACGCATGGTGATCAGTGACAGCACATCCCCTCTGACTGCCACACTGAACAAATACATGCTTAGTCATTGTCTTTCCACCTGACCCAATGTTTGTGGCTCCAGAAAAGCACTTGTTATATCATTAAAGTGATTGTTGGTTATGTGTGGGTGTGTAGGTGCATGTGTGTACGTGCGAATTTTCTCTGTGGTTCTTCTCTGTGACTCGACTCTGAGCTTCTCAAGCTGCTACCTTGTCTTGTTTTAACAGTGGCTCTTCTGTCCTATGACTCTATGCAGAATTGATGCATAACATGTTGGAAGGCAAAATATGTTTGTTAAAAATTGATCTACTTATTAATTTTCCTCCCTTTAAAAATAACATTAAGGTAGACTTTGGGGTTGTATTTATCTATTTCCTTCAACGTCTCTCTACACTAGTCTTGTCATAAGTCTTCAAATTGCAAGCCATCAATATCAACTCACTGTTTGCTAAACAATCAGAAACTGACAGTATGAGGCTGAAGACTGAGACATTTAAGAAGCATATTCTAAAAGCGTTCTCAAAGGCTAAATTGACAAGGCCAGGAAGAAGTCTGTGTTTGTAACTGTTGTTGTGGCTTTTTGGCAAATATGAGTAAATATATATCACTACTTTTGACATTAATATCTAAAACAAACAGTGCCTTTTGAGGTTTGAGGTATGCTTTTTATTTCTTTTTTGGTGAGGAAGATTGGCCCTGCAATAACATTTGTTGCCATTCTTCCTCTTTTATTTTTCTCCCCAAATCCAAGTACATAGTTGTGTATCCTAGTTGTAAGTCATTCTAGTTCTTCTATGTGGGATGCTGTCACAGCATGGCTTGATGAGCAGTGTGTAGGTCCCCGCACAGGATCTGTACCGGTGAACCCCAGGCCATGGAAGCGGAGTGTGCAAACTTAACCACTTGGCCATGGTGCTGGATCCAAACAGTGCCTTTTGTACGAAAATGATATTGGACTTTGATTTATTTTTTGAGGGTATAATTCTGATTTAGACTTTGAAGACTATGTGTGAACCTTACTCAGTGAAAACAACCTAAAAATACTCACGTCACAAGTAATAATAATAAACATTTTTATACATAACACTTATTAAGCATGTTTTTTGGGCTGAGTGATGCTAATTCTTTCATCTAATTTCACTTAATCCTCACCATGATCATATGAGACAGGCATTATTAATAACTGCATTTTCAGATGAGGAAAGGAGAGGCACAGAAAGGTTTAAAATTTCGCCCAAAGTCAAACAGGGAAGACGAGGCTAGCCCGGATTCTCACCCAGGCAGTAAGATGTCATGAGCCTCCTTCTGAATTACTGAGAACAGGCTCAGGTTTTGAAGATAAAGCTGCAGAGAAGAAAATCGAAAAGCCATGTCCCTGAGGTGGCTCCCGAATTTTGCAATAATGCAAACAGACAGCATCTCTTTCATGGCGCGCCTCAAACCAAGACCAAACCAAATTAGAGTACTCGAAAGAGACAGATGTGAAGTGATTTTCTAGGGATGAAGGAAATTTAAAGCAGCAGGGTCAAGCCCCAGACCCTTCCAACTTAAACACACCCATTTTCAATTCTTCTCCTTTTTAGAAAACAGGGAGCTGTGAATTCGCTCATGGCTCAGAGGACGCTGCCCAGTTTGTTCACATGAGATTCAAAGCAAAAATGAGAATCACTCCCTGGGACAACTTTAGTCCAGAATGTGTGTTTTTACACATTTTTAATTGGAGCACAAATATATTAACAGTGCGGCTATTTTGTACTTTCAAAAGAATCTGTTTTGTAACTGATTCATATTTATATTTGGAATACATTTATTTCTGGGCATGAAACAGTTCATTTTGTTAAGCCATCTGACCCGAGGTGAAGTTGGCACAATTTGCCATGACTGCTCCCAATTAATGCAAATTGAAGGTTAAAGGATAAATAAAGTCCCTTTAACTTGGTTTATTAATATGTTATTTATAAATGGGTCTTTACTTGGTTTATTTTTTTTCAGTCAGTAGCTATGTACAAATGAACTGTACAGAAAAACTAGCAAATACATAATGTGTATTTTATTATAAAGTTTTCATTTTAAAAGGGTTAATATTACGGCAAAAAAAAAATAATGTCATCTATCTATCTATCTACCTGTCTATTTATCTATGTATCTTTTAAGTCTCAGCTCTCTCATCAAATTTTATGGAGCCTGAGATAGACTTATTACATTGCATTAATGGCCTACATTCTTCACCCCTCCCCGGACCTACCCTTTTGCCAAGTAACTTTGTAGTTCCTCTGACTAAAGAGGTTGAGTCTATTTTCCTGTCCCCTTTGATTCTGGTTTTGGCCACACTTGCTTTGGTCAATAGAATGTTAGCAGGTATGCTGCATGTAGAAATCTGAAAAAGTTCTTGTTAATGTATTTTCTCTTGCCATGAGAACATGACTGGGCTAGGCTGTCATAGTTGAGAAACATGGAGTGGAGTTGAGTCATGTCTGTCGTCTCTGCCAAGGCCGTCCTAGATCAGCCTAGACCAGCCAAAGCCCCATACGTATGAGAGAGACCAGGCAAGATGAGCAGAGCCATTTAGCTGACCTACAGATGGCCACAGATGCATGAGTAGGCCCAGCTGGAAGTGGAAGAAGCAGCCAGCCAACTCTCAGACTTGTGAACTTACAAATACCATTGTTTCAAATCGTTGAGTTTTGAGGTAATTTCTTACTATTCAGGTAACAAATCATGTAATGCTACTGTGCACTCAATAACTGATATAGGACCTACCCCTGGCTCACTCCAAAAAGAGATGCCCACCCAGAAGATGGCCTAAAATTAATCAATAAAATTCAGCAAATATCTACCAAATGCCAGCTGTATCAGTCAAGGTTCAACCAGAAAAATAAAAACTGGTCTCATATTTAAACAGAAAACTATAATCCAGGGAATTGATTACATAGGTGAAGGAAAAGATACGAAGGCAAATAGGGAAGAATGAGGCAGCCAGGAACTCAGTAATTGCAGGAATCCCTGAACTATAGGGACAAAGAATGCAAGCGTTGATATTGGAGCCCTGGGACCAGGGTCACCCAGAAGAAGCTGCAAGTTCACAGGGCCTCTCTAGTAGGAGCTGAAGCCCTAGAGGAGACACAGCTGCCATCAGAGCTCCTGTCTGAGGCAGAGTGTGGGCAAGAAATATCCTGGCCTCTCCCTTCCTTCAGTCTTCTGTTCTCCCTCCAGGGCTTTCCAATGGCTGAACCCACATGGAAGCCAACTGACTCAGGAACCTGGACAGCACAACCCTTAGGGGGCAGCCTCTCAGTAACACAAGGGAAGGGCAAGGAAGTGAACTGAGGGCAAACGGGTAAATATACCACCACGATGTGAAAGCCGTTATAGGAGGTCTTACTCAGTGCTGAGAGCTACATCCACAAAAATAACTGAGAATCAGAACAGACCCTGGACTTGAAGGTTAGAAAGGGCCTAAATAGGAGGAAAGGATGTTCAGGTAGCAGCGACTGTGGGAACAGGAAACACGGGGGGAATAGCAAGTATTCTGGTTTGGCTTAGAAGGTTGTGTATTTGGGAGCGGGGAGCAGGGGCGATGAAGGAGCAGTGAGACTACAAGTTGAGAGCTTGAAAGAGTTTGGATGCCAATCCAAGCAAACGGGACTTATGTTCCAAAGGCAATGGGAAATGAAATGATTCTGAGCAGAGAGTAATATGATCCAAATTGCGTATTAGGAATATTACTCTGATAGAAATCTGAGGGATGGATTGCAGGGAGAAAACTAGACTAGGAGTTTTTAACTAAGTGTAGACCTCAGGGAATTCACAGCCTCCTTGAACAAATTGACAGGAGTTTGTGTAAGCATTCTGTTTTCTGAGAGATGGTACATAGCTTTCCCATGGTTTTCAATGGAACCCATGACCGCTGTCCCTACCAAAAATTGAAGCACCAGAAGCAGGCAAG